GGTCCATGGGGCCTGAACTCTGGGCCTAGGCGCTGTCCCTCAGCTCTTCAGCTCAAGGCTAGCGCTCTACCACTTGAGCCACAGCGCCACTTCCGGCTTATGTGGTGCTGAGGAATCGAACCCAGGGCCTCAGGCATGCAAGGCAAGCAATCTACCACTGAGCCACCTTCCCAGCCTGTAAGAGTGTTATTGTTCGTTAGATAAATACTCAGCATTTTCCTGAACTTAATCAGTGGTCCTTCCCCCTCCCATATCCTTCCTTGCCTGTTTCCCTGTTTCCCTGACCTACCTCCTGGGCCTGGATATTGACAGAAGCAGCCATAGGCAGGGGACCCTGGCCTTTGGATGGGATAGGCACGGGCCAAGCTCAGCATTTTTCCGAGGGCATCGTAGATAAAGATGAGGCTGATGAGTGCACAGAATCCTTCCTCTGTAAAGCGGGTGAAGTAACGTACCAGCACGCTGGCCTCTGTGGCCACCAGCACCAGGCAAAATGTGGCTACCCAGATGCCTACCCACAGGCGGAAGGGTAAGTAGTCCAGGTGGTAATCTCTGTGGGGATGAGATACAGGCAGGGATATGCCCCTCAAGCCAAAGAGATAGCTCCAGCCCTCTCATCTAGCCAGGACAGACTGAGGGTATGACTAGTCGGAGGCTGGGGATATAGGGAAGGTCTCCTACCTGCAGAAAGTGAAGAGCAGGCGCTCAAAGACCAGCACTGGCCCGGTGCTGCTGAGGATGGTAAGGGGCTGACCTGCCATCAGGCAGAAGGCAGCCCCCGTAACTGCAGTGCCCAGGAAACTTTCCAGCACTCCCTGGAAGCCAATAGAAACATGGCAGGACTCTGGCCTCCCTAGCACAGACACCCAAGCTTCAACAGAGTTTCTTCAGTCCCCAGACAAAGAGGACCACAAAGCTTGTGTTTAGCCAGATACCATTGGCTCATGCCTGTAATCTTAGCTACTCAGAAGGCTAAGATCTGAGGATCATGGTTCAAAGCCTGGGAAAGAAAGTCTGTGAGACTCTTATCTCCAACAAACCAGCAAAAAGACAGAAGTAGAGATGTGGCTCAAGTGGTAGAGCCTTAGCTTTGGGTGAAAAAGTAAAGGACAGTGCCCAGGTTTAGGCCCTGAGTTCAAGTCCCAGTACTGGCACACACAAACACACACACACACACACACACACACAAGCTGGTGCCAACACATTTCCCATAACTGCACTTCTCACAACCCTCACACACCTGGGCACCTTCAGTGGCATCTCCCAAGAGACCCCCGAAAGTGATGGCATTTGTGATGGTGGCCAGGTAAATGTAGAGCACAGCTGAGAGACACTGGGGATGCAGGGCGTCCAAGAAGTCGCTGGAGTACCACAAGGCTTTCCGACGCACGTCCTGGACAAGACCCCCAAACAGCCTCCCACCCCCGCCCCCATGGGTCATCAGTGATCCATATTCCCATACCCCCAGCCTGCACTGGGCCTGATTTCTCTGTGGCCAGGCGATCCCCATGCAAAGAACCCCTTCCTAGAGGCCCCATGACCCCTCCACAAAACCCCTAACCCTTATTCCCCATCAGTTCGCCTCACCAGCCAGTCCGCTGCAACTCTGGGTTGGGCATATGTGGCCCACGATGGTGGTGCCTGTCCTCTGCTGGGGCTCCACGCAGCCCAGAGATGCCCCTGACCTCCCACACTTGCGAGGAGAGCCTGAGGAGAAGGGAAGCCCCTGGGGAACTGAAGAGCTCCACCCAGCCAGTGACTTGGTCTAGATTTGGTGGCACCCTGCCCCCTGGTGGCTGCTGTCTCCCCGATCTAACAGCCAGGTGTACTAGAAGAATCCCATCACTTCACCCAGACCAAGTGATGCCAGGTTCAGCCAAGATGGCAACTGTGAGGGATTTAGGGAGAGATAGGGAGAGAGAGAGGCAGAACTCTCCAAAGACAAGACCTCTAGACAAGAGCAGAGAGGAGAGAGCTGATGGAATGATGGCCTCCAGGTACCTTTTGTGCTGAAAGGGCAGGCATTTAGGCGGGGGAATTCGGGCTGTCGGGTCCCACCGACCTGGGGGGAGCACTGTCACCTTCTGTAGGAAGGCATCTAGGGCCGCCAAAAGGTCCTGAAGGTTGCTGGCCTGACGAACTGACCCCTGGAATTGCTGGGTTTAGAGGCACAGAATGGGCAGAACATGCAGATTTGGACTTTAATACATTTTCACTTGAATGTTTTTCAAAATTAGAATCACCCAGGTCACAAGCAGAGACGTCATGCATCACTTTCAGGCGTGCAAGTACTCATTTGATGGGTATTGAATGCCTAATATATGCCTGCACTGGGCCAGTAATCAGGTTACATTGGTAGCCATGGAAACTTCAGTCTCTATGTTATGAACTTCAGTAAGCCTCCGTGTTGTGATTGGTCACACATACAGAGTCCATACATGCTCACAGAAGCTCATGTGCATTCATGTGTACACGCACATATGCACACACACACACAAACACACACACACACACACACGCTTGCTCTACTCACCAGGTCACTGAGGAGGACAGCCATTGCTCTACCCATTTCATGGTAGGCCCTTCCAGGCATGGGGGGGCCCAGGAGGAGGCAGAAAAACCTGAAGAAGGAACAAGGGCCTCACAGAAGGTCAGAGGCTGCTTCCCTCTAGGACAGCACAGCCCCCAGATGGGCAGCCTCTAGACCTGATGATGCTCAGTACTGACCTCCTTACCTGCCCTGTACATTCTCAAGTGCACATCTGCTCTGCAGTCCTGACCTTGTCCTGGATGCCATCCCCCACATCCTCAGGGACATGGATCCAGGGACACCCCTTCCCTCCAGTAAACACCCTTCTTTAGGGCCCAGACTCCCACTCAGTTGCTTTACCTGCTGGGGATGGGCACCTCAGTAAGTGGCCCCAGCACCACAGGATTCTGCAATCGAATGAAGGCCCCCAGTGGCCGTGCCAGGAAGCCCAGCTCTCCTGCCAGCACCACTGCTGCCTCTGCCCCTGGAGGCAGCTTTTGTCTCAGGGGGTTACGATGCTGAGTAACCAGAAAGTAAGACATTATTGTTTGGGGAAAGGAATGTTGCCAGGATCTCTCTCTCAATGGGCCCATAGGAGGGAGGCCCTCTGTTAATTCCTAACCCCTCTGCCAGCCTTTCCCAGGGAAGACCACAAACCTGTTCCTTCAGGGGGGCATCCTCATCATGAGAATCCTTTCTTATATCAGTGGATTCTACAAAACAGGAGTCTGTAGAAATTAATAACACAGACTTTGGGGGTGAGTCGACCAGGGCTCCCTTACCAGCTTTGCCACTGACAGGCTGTGAGAACTGGCACACAACCCCTCCCCTTTTCTGGGCCTCAGTTTCCTCTTCACTAAAATGGGGATAATTGTACAACTTTCCAAGGTGACTTTCAAGATTAAATGCGATACTTCATGCAAGGGTCCTGGCACAATAACCCACCAAGTACATTCCTTCACAGAGCTCTGGCTGTTACGTTTCTATTCTTCCCTCCCCTATTTCCCTTCTCATCAGTACCCCCAACTTTCTCTTGCTCATGAGTCCTGGGTTGAGGTCTTAACCAAGTTGAGGCCATTCCTGGCTCAGGAAGGTACAGGAGACATCTGGGATCCTTCTCCCATAGGGCATTGAGCCTGAGTCTCTCACCCCAGCAGAGCTTGGTGCCTCTCATCTGGATGTTGTGTTGAGGTCTCTGCAGCAGCAAGGCCTGAAGTTGCTCTTTCAGCTCTGGACTCAGTGACTCCACCCTTATCACCTGCTCTGCAGAATAAATGTGGGACTTGAACCCCATCCTGATAGCCCTCTGCTTCCATTGCTCATACCCTTCCCCTTCCATTCTATTCTAGCAGTGACAGAGTACAGACGCCACCTTGTTCCTCCACTCTATCCATCTTGATCCTAAGAAAGGAATGGACAATCCTTAGAATGGGATTCATGGGGGGTGGCCTCTGAAAGGTTCCAAGACTGTAGATCTCTTGGGAAATGTCCTATCTACCCAGGCCCTCCCCAAAAAGGCTTCCATCCTACCCACAAGTTCCAGGAGACTCTGAGCCGGACAATCCAACAATATAAGGCCTTCTGCCAGCAGGCTCCGGAGTTTCTGAAGGCTGGCAAGTGCCAGGGTAGGTACATGGGGAGCACTCCACCGGCCAGCACCCACCTCCAGCTTCTCTTCGAACAGCACCCACCTGTGATGGGCGGACAGTGTTATTGGGGAACTCTCTCCCATGTCTAGGATCAGGGACACTACGGAGCCAGGAAAGGTAGAATGGTAGGAGTTCCTTGGCCCAGTACAGAATATATCCTCATATTAACTACCCTACCTTGGGTCTTAGAGAACCCAAAACTAGAATGCGGAGGAGACAGTAAGTATACAAATAAGGAAGGTGGAACACAGAGAGGAAACAAGAATTGAGGATGGGAAAGTACCCCCACAGAACTGGCTTGGTCATACTTACCTTCCTGTCTCTCTCCACTCAAGTGCCTGGGGCCAGCCCACTAGTTCATTCAGCTGAATGAAGAGCATAGGGTTGTTGGGTACTACCATGTCCCTGCTGTCTGTGTCTAAGGGGACATCAGGACCAGGGCCAAGGACATTGTCCAGCTCTCCTGCAGGAACATTTTCACCAGCACTGGAGGTTTCAAATTCCTCCTGGCCTGGCAGCTTCATCTTGGGGAGGCTTACACAGAATCTCAAGGGCCTCTGGCTGGCTGCATTTATACTGCACCCCTTCCCACAACCGGACACAAACAGAGCAAGCCTGTTGGCCCCAGAGCATACTGGTCACCTCCTCACCTGCTTGCTTCTCTACCCCCTGTGGCCTGAGAGTATTTGTAAAGCTAGCCTGGCTTTTCCCAGTCTCTTCGGAAATGCTCAACTTGGGGGCAAACACAATATGTGTGCATTTCTCATGGGATCAGGTCTAATCTGAGTTTTGTATAAATAAATAGAAGAGATCCATACACTGACACCTCCTCTAACTTGTATCAAACAGAAACACCAAACCTCCAGGACTGTTTTAGGTGTCAACAACATATCCCTCATACATTTGGACAAACTGGGAACTAATAAACAACTAGGCCTAGGCAGGGTAAAGGAGATAGCAGGTAGAGGCCTGCTGACTAATGATTTGAAAATGCAGTCAAGTCATAGAGAACATAATGCCTGTGCCTTAAATTCTTTTGACCAACAACATCTGGAAACTCCCTAATTCACCTTTGTTCCTATGTTCCCCCCCTCTAACCCACATTGAAGACAGAAGACACAACCAGGGTGTGTTTGTAAAAGAGTTCCTGAAGTCACCTGAGTTAAGAAGAATGTAGTTACTTACCAAGTCCTGTTGGCTCTATCTGTTTCCAGAATTCAACCCTATCTTTAAGACTATCACCATGATCTAAGCCAACATCATTTCTTATTGCCTCCTATCCTCTCTAGCAATAATCTTCTCTGTTTTAGCTCTTCTCCTTGCCCAAAGTCCATCTGCCATATATCAGCCACAGGTTTTGTGTGTGTGTGTGTGTGTGTGTGTGTGTGTGTGTGTGTATCTGTCTGGGTCTGTCTGTGTGTGCCAGGACCAGGGCTTGAACTCAGGGCCTTGTGGTCTGGTAAGAGTTTACCACTTGAGCTACACTTCCAGTTTGGCATTTTGCTGTATAATTAGAGATGGAGTCTCACAGATTTTTTTCTGGTGGGGGAGGGAGGTGCGCTGGGCTGGCATCAAGCTATGATTCTCTCAATTTCATTCTCCTGAGTAGTTAGGATTACAGCCACCAGCACCTGGCTCATAGGGGTTCTAGCATTACTAGCCAAACATCCATGGATCATGCCTGTAATACTAACTACTCAGGAGGCTGAGATCTGAGGATTGAGATTCAAAGGTAGCCCAAGCAGGAAAATCTGTGAGACTCTTATCTCCAATTAACCACCAGAAAACCAGAAGTGGTGCTGTGGCTCAAAGTGGTAAAGTGCTAGCCTTGAGTGGAAAAAGCTCAGAGACAGCACCCAGGCCCTGAGTTCAAGTCTCACAGCTGGAAAAAAAAAAAGCATTCCTGCTGGATGGGGTGACACATACCTGTAATCCCAGTATTGTGGAGGCTGAGGCAGAGGATCCAAAGTTCAAGATAACCTTGGATTACATAGGGAGACCCAATCTCAAAACACAAAACAACAACCCTCCCACTGAGAACACAAAAGGCATTCCAGTCACATTCTTTCCTACTCAAAACATTTCCAACACATGCCCACTACACTCAGCATAAAAATTAAACTCATGTCATGGCCTACTATATTCATGGTCCATCTCCAGCCCACCCCACTGACCACATCTCTACCATCGCTTTCTCTCTTCTTTCTAAGCCAGGAATATAATAAATGCCCTGTTTCTGCCAGAAGAGCTTTGTGGTAGCAGTTTTCTGTAAATTTCCACCCTAAATCCTTACATGCTTGAATCCTTGTCACTGAAATCTAATGTCAGATACGACTTGCTCAAGGGAAACTTCCTTTTCTATCCTTAGTTTCCCTCTGAGGTTACTCTCCATAACATTGCTGTTTTATTTTCTTCCTAGCAGCCATCACTCTAGTAACTGCCTCATTTATTTGTTTATCATTTATTGCCTGCCTTTACACACACACACACTGAAATGTACTGTCTATGGAGAAGTATCTTATTTGTTGGCTGCTCCTTGAGCAGCCCAGCACATAGTGGCTCTCAATAAATACTTTTTGGATGAACGCATAGAAAGAAAAGGATTTGGCAAGGAGCCGAGCTACTCCTGATATCCACACGAGGGCGCTGCTTCCCACGCTCGAGTCGCTAGAACCGCTCCCTTAGGCCAAGTGGCTGTGTTTTGTTTCCCAACTAGGGCGCTGGCGCCGAGATGGCGAGAAGACAGGCAGGGAGGGGTACGTGATCCTCTCTGCCTTGCCCTTGCCTATCGAAAATTGATCTAGGGAGATGGGGCTTGGGGCAGCACAAAAGGATAGGGAAGGGAGGAGTGTTCCAGTTCGTTTGAATGTGAGCCAAGCCCCTCAATAAATACCAGGAACCTGTCCCCTGAGAAAATGGGACCCAGGTGGTCCTCTCCACCAACCTCAGGTATAGTCTAAAAGGTCCCAAGGTAATCATTAGAGGAAGGAGTTACTACATTACCAATTGGCAACGGTGATGAGTCTCAGGGGAAAGATAGATGTGTTCAGTCTCAAGGGGAATAGAAACTAGCCTAGGGCATGAAAAGGCCAGGGAACCCTTGTGACCATTACTTTCAGGAATGTGCCCCAATCTTAGGGACAGTGAACTCAAGACAGCTTGAGGATGATGAGATCATGGGTTTGGCATGCATACCCTCCCCCTCCACACACACACACCTAATACCCTCTATTCCTGCCTTCATTCTTGCCAGAGTTCAGAGGGTCTCTGTCCTTGTGCATCTCTATGACCCTATCTACTCTGCCTGCTGTAGCAGGGCCATTAGGCCACCTCCCCAGATTCCACTCCCACATCCCTGTCTGAACTGAGCAGGTAGATGAGGGCTATGCCTATGGGCTCCAGTAGACTCCCAGAGAGGACCCAGGACACATGAAGTGAGCAGACCAGGGGATGCCTATTAGAGTTCAAACACCAGGTTCTCCTGTTGGTTAGGTCATATACCCTGGGCAAGGCCTTTCTCTCTGAGCTTCACTTCCTCTGCATGTAAATGGAGATTGTTGGATAGATGATTTCCAAGGTTCAAACCTTAATGCTATGCACTGTGCAGGATCTGGTGAGGTGGGCGTGGCCTTGCCAACTAGCCACACTATGTGAACCCTGCATGGTTACTTCCCAGCAATGGAGAAGAGATTTACCTTGGCTGAACTTGAGTTTTCTTATGAGCAAGTGGGAAGTAATTAATAAAACATTTGTGGGTTGGCATTGCCAAGCATGTGTGAGGCCCCAGGTTCAATCTCTAGCACTGAAAATAAAGCCTATACTTTGTAGGCTTACTAAACGACACAAAGATGTAATATAGCCCTAGTACTCAGTAAATACATAAAAGGAGGTTGTTATTATTATATAACAATGAGAATAATTGCTCTAGAATGGAAAGAAAAGAAGCTTTTTAGGAATAATACTAAAATGCTGAATGTCCAACTCCTGTCCTAGGCATATTATCTTACGCAAGCCTTATATTTTTTAAAATATAGGGCTGGGAAGGTGGCTCAGTGGTAGAGCGCTTGCCTTGCATGCCTGAGGCCCTGGGTTCAATTCCTCAGCACCACATAAGCAAAAAGAAAAAAGCCAGAAGTGGCGCTGTGGCTCAAGTGATAGAGCGCTAGCCTTGAGCTGAGGAGCTGAGGGACAGTGCCCAGGCCCAGAGTTCAGGCCCCACCACCAGACCCCCCCAAAAAATAATAAAAAATAAAATATAATATAATTACTTCTCACAATGCCCATATTCTGGCACAAAGATGAAGTTGAAGGCATCTGGAGGGAAAGAGGATGCAACCAGGGTGATGGAGTGTGTAGGAAGAGACCACCTGGGTCTGCCATAAATTGCTCAGACTCAGCCTTTCCAGTCCTCTCTGGCCTAAGACTTCTACACTCAAGTAGGAAGAAGAAAACTGGTAATAGTTGAGTTTCATATTCATTATTTATGTTCTCCCTGATTCCAGAAAAGATTGAAAGGTATTTTATAACAGAAGACATAGACACAGGTATATATCTAAAGAATGTTTAAAGAGCCCTAGAATAAAATCAAATTATGGACAAAGGAAACCATCCTCAAAATCCTGGGTTAGAAATAACATTACAACTGAACACATGGTCTTAATTTGAGCTTCTTGGCTATGGAATCCATGAGTTCCATGCTTGTCATATCTAATAAAAGGAATTACTATACCAGATAGACACCAAGACCATACTATAAGAAGAATTTATCCTTTCCAACTTGGGCCCGGCAGAATGGCTCCCGCAAAGAAGGGTGGTGAGAAGAAAAAGGGCCGTTGTGCCATCAACAAGGTGGTGACCTGTGAATACACCATCAACATTCACCAGCGCATCCATGGAGTGGGCTTTAAGAAGCGTGCTCCTCGTGCACTCAAAGAGATCCAGAAGTTTGCCGTGAAGAAGATGGGGACTCCAGATATGCGCATCGATACCAGGCTCAACAAAGCTGTGTGGGCCAAAGGAATAAGGAATGTCCACTACTGGATCTGTGTGCCGCTATCTAGAAACCGGAATGAGGATGAAGACTCCCCAAACAAGCTCTATGCTCTGGTAACCTATGTCCTGTTACCACATTCAAAAATCTACAGACAGGCTGGGAAAATGGCTCAGTGGTACAGCACTTGCCTTGCATGCATGAGGCCCTGGGTTCGATTCCTTAGCACCACATAAGCAAAAAGAAAAAAGCTGGAAGTGGCGAGTGTGGCTCAAGTGGTAGAGTGCTAGCCTTGAGCTGAAGAGCTGAGGGACAGCACCCAGGCCCAGAATTCAGGCCCCACGACCGGACCCAAAAAAAAAAAAAAAATCTACAGACAGTCAATGTGAATGAGAATTCGTGTCAAATAAAGCTATAAAATTGCTTTAAAAAAAAAGAATTTATATATGAGACTGTATATTTTGGGGTGTGCTAGTACTGGGGATTGAACTCAGAGCCTGGGTGTTGGCCCCTTAGCTTTTTCACTCTGTCACTTGAACCACAACTTCACTTCTGGCATTTGGTGGTGAATTGGAGATAAGAGTCTCAGACTTTCCTACCCAGACTGGCTTCAAACTGCTATCCTCAGATCTCAGCCTCCTGAGTAGCTAGGATTACAGGTATGAGCCAGTGGCACCCAGCTCAGAATACTTTTTCAAAGGATATATATAGGAGGGCTTACCTTGTGTATCTCTTGTGTAAATAGCTCTAAATCTTTTAAAAATAATTATTTCCTGTGGGTGAGGATGGGAGGGAAAAGTTGGGAGAGAGCAAAGGAAGGGGTGATATTGTCAAAAAGAAATGTACTCATTACTTGAGTCATGAAACGGTAACCCCTCAGTGCATTACCTTTATTAAAAACAATAAAAATTTAATTTAAAAATCAATATTTCCTTCTATCAAAAATATATTGTGAATAGTTCTTTACTATCCTGAAATGAAGTTCAAATCTAATACCATAACTGTATATTTGCTCTGTAAAAAATCAATACCCTGGAGCCAGATACAATTAAGCACCTAATTCCCAGCTGAGACAGGAGATGAAGCCAGCGTGGGCTACATAGATGCTGTTTCACAAAATAAACGCACAAACAGAGCCAGGTGGATTGGCACATGCTTTTAATCCCTGAGACTTGGGAGGTGGATATAGGCCAGCCCTGGAATAAAATTGGTAAGACCCAATCTCAGAAAACAGTCCAGATATGGTAGTTTACATCTGTGGTCCCAGCTAATCAAAAAGCAGAAGGGGGAGAATCTCTGATGTTGTACAAACATGCAAGACAAAGGGGGGAAGAGAGATGAGAGACAATAATGAAGGATAAATCTGATCAAGAAACATTATTATGCATATTGTCATGTCTAAATAAAACCTATTGTAAACTAATTTGATGCTACTAAAAGTTTAGGGGTGGCTGAGAATGTGGTAGAGTGCTTGCCTAGCATGCATGAAGCCCTGGGTTCAATTCCTCAGTATCACATAAACAGAAAAACCCAGAAGTGGCGCTGTGGCTCAAGTGGTAGAGTACTAGCCTTGAGCAAAAGAAGCTCGAGGATAGTGCCCAGGCCCTGAGCTCAAGCCCCAGGACTGGCAAAAACAAACAAACAAACAAAAACTAGATAGATCTATACATACAAAAATTTAGGGGCTAAATCATTAAATAAAAACTAAGCCAGGCACTGGTGGCTCACACCTGTAATCCTAGCTACTCAGGAGGCTGAGATCTGAGGATCATGGCTTAAAGCCAGCTCAGGCAGAGAAGTTCATGAGACTCTTATCTCCAGTTAACTACCAGAAAACCAGAAGTGGTAGAGTGCTAGCCTTGAGCGGAAAAAGCTCAAGGACAGTATCCAGGCCCTGAGTTCAAGTCCCATGACTGACAAATAAATAAACTAAAGCAAGAAGGGATGGAGATGTGGTTCCTGTGTCCTAAATTCAAACCCCAGTATCACCAAAAAGACAAAACCTCAACCAATATCCCAATTAATAAAAAAGAGAAAATGAATTTTAAAATACTCACTTGGGTCTGGGTACAGTCTGGCTAAAACCTCTAAGCCATTTACAAGGCTGAGATTGGTGGTCACAGTTGAAGGCCAGCATAAAAGTTCACAAAACTTCATCTCATTTAATGGCCAGGCACAATAGTATACTGCTATCCCAGCTGCAGGGGAAGCACTGTGTCTGCGAACAGTGGTGTGCAATTATCATCCCGAGTAACATAGCAAAGCACACATAAGGGGATTGCACCCTAGGCCAGCCTGGGCAGAAAAGTGCTTGAGACTCCTACCTCCAATTAAACTGCAAAAACCTACACGTGGGGGGCTGGGAAGGTGGCTCAGTGGTAGAGTGCTTGCCTTGCATGCCTGAGGCCCTGGGTTCGATTCCTCAGCAGCACATAAGCAAAAAGAAAAAAGCCGGAAGTGGCGCTGTGGCTCAAGTGGTAGAGCGCTAGCCTTGAGCTGAAGAGCTGAGGGACAGCGCCCAGGCCCAGAGTTCAGGCCCCGCAACCGGACCCAAAAAAAAAAAACATCTACAAGTGGGGTAGGGCACCAGCCTTGAGCAAATAGCCAAGCAAGAGAGTAAGGCCCTTAGTTTAAGCCCTAGCACTGGCACCACGAAAAAAAAGAAAAAGAAAACCAAGGAAAAAAGGTGCTTGCCTCCTGAATTCAGTTTTGGAACTGGCAGTGCTTGGCACTGTCATTAAAAACAAAAACTCACTTTGAGAAGCTGAGGTAGGGAAAGTTCATGTTTAGGCTAGCCAGGGTTACATAACTAAAACCTGGTCTGAAAAAAAAAAGTGTATATATAAATTGTGAGGCAGTCTTCCTTACTAGCCTTAGATACCTGCCTTCAGATGTTTTGTTTTGGTTTGGGGGGTGATGTGGGGACTTTGCTTGGGGACTGGAACTTAGGGCCTAGAACTCTTGCTTGGCTTATTCACTCAAGGCTAGTGCTCTACCACTTGAACCATACCTCCCCTTGTGTGTATAATTTCATTACATAAAGTTGTTTTTTTATTTTTTTACAATAACTACTCCAGAAATCTCCGAGAAGTGGCCCCTTGATTTAACCTATTCAGACTTACCTGAGATGGGACAGCTTTTAAAATTGATATAGGTATAATCAGGTACTGGTGGATCATGCCTGTAATCCTAGCTATGCAGGAAGCTGAGATCTGAGGATCAAAGTTCAAAGCCAGCCCGGGCAGGAAGTCCGTGAGATTCTTATCTCCAATAAACCACCAAAAAACTGGAAGTGGTGCTGTGGCTCAAGTGGTAGAGTGCTAGCCTTGAGCTGCAGAGCTGAGGGACAGTACCCAGGCCTAAAGTTCAAGCCCTATGACAAACAACAACAACAAAAAAGAAGTTATAGGTATATTGACAACTCAGATATCACGGAAATGAACAGTCGGTGCTTATTTTCTTCCTGATAAAATCAATGCAAAAACTCTACTTAGAGCCTTGTATAAATTAGAGACAGTTCTAGATTCAAGTAATTATGATCAAATTTTTCACTGAGATGTGTGTCCCACAGAATACTCAAAAGTTGTTTGAGCCAGATGCAGTGGTTCATGCCTGCAATCCTAACTACACAGGAGGCTGAGATCTGAGGTTCATAGTTTGAAGCCAGTCCAGGGAAGGAAAAACCGGGAGACTCTTATCTCCAATAAATTGACAAAAAGCCAGAAGTGGAGCTGTGGTTCAAGCAGTATAGTGCTAGCCTTGAGCCTAGACCCTGAGTTCACCCCCAGGATCAGCACACACACACACACACACACACACACACACACACACACACACACACACACAGAGAGCTTGAAATGTGGGGCATAAATTAATTATGTAGGCCTGACCCCATTTTCTCTCAAATGCCTGAGAATTCTCAGTGACAACCAGAAACTCTCCACAAATCCCTAGAATGTCCCATAGAGGGCAGTAGCTCTTTCTTTTCAACCCATTGTCATAGACCGACCTTAGTTATAAAGAATAAATGGTTGTTCAATTACTGCTAGCCCTTGATTGCCTTCCTACCAGGAACTAACTTTACACATTCCTGGTAGAAAGTATGATGTGATTGCATTCCAAGGTTAAGCACTGGAAACAGTAACAAGCGTACTGAGCTATTTATATAGAGCATTGCATTTTACCAAGCACTTCAGAGATGCTTTCTCCTTCAATTGCCACAAGAACTCTGTAAATCGACCCCTATTCTCCCCACTTACAGGCAAAGAAGCTGAGTCACAGAGAAAAAGACTATCACATCTTGTAGATCAGGCACCATAGATTTTCCCAGAACTGTCTCAGCAAGCCCTTTGACAGCAGCATGACAGAAAACAACTCATGATGGACATCACTGACCAGGACCTTACTATAACACATCAGGAATCTGAAGCTTGAAGAAAATGATAGATTGTGTGATGAGGGAGGAATCACTTGCCCCCCTCTCTGCTGGCAGACATTCATTTGTGCTAGAGAATGGCTGAAGGACAAAGTCCTATGTCTGTTAATCATTTAAAGCCATAGAAATAAGCCTGGGCATAGAAGAAAATAGCAGGAAAATCAGCATGTTCTAAATGCCCCCCACCTCAAATTCTGAGATAACAAGGATTTCTGGATATTTTCTCCCCCAAACCAGCCTCTCTCTACCTCATCTATTCATATTCTTTGTCCAAATAGATCCTGGTCCCAAACAATCCAGGTGTCTGTGGAGCACATACCTTCAGGTGTTCCTGGCTAGCACAAGGAAGTGCAAGAGGATTCTAAAGGGCAGGCCTGGATTGTAATGCACCTAAGTAACTGAATTAGGGTGAGAGAGCCAGCTTGGGACTAGGAGGAAGCCCTCTCCCTGAATTTGACCTTCAAGTTTGGGGGAACTGGACTCACCCCCAGGGCATGTGGTTTTCTTAGTTGGGAGAAAAGATTGCATTTTTAGATTGCAAATTTAGATTCCAAACTTACCGTTTCATTGATAAGCATGATATCTCTCATCAAGGAGCACTTCATCTCTTGAGAATGGCTGGCCTATGACAAAGAACTATTTACTCAAGTTACCACTAGGAAAGGGAAGGGAATGGAAGGCAAAAGTAGAGATGGGAAGTGAAAGGGAAAGGAAGGAGAGAAAGAGGAAAGGAAAGAAGGAAGGAAGGGGGAGGTGAGAAAGGAGGAGAAAAAGAATATTGTTCACAACAGCTTCATTGAATCTACCTATTATGTGTCAGGCATCCTATTTTCCTTAATATATATGATCTGCTTTTTATCATAAGAGCCTATAATAACCACTACTACGATTATCCTCATTTTCAGATGAGTAAATCTTAGATAAGGGAAATTAACTAACATGTTCAACGTTAGAGAGCTTAAAAAGAGAAAAAGAAAAGGTTGGGTATCAGACAGTGCACATTGGAAAGCAGAGGCAAGAGACTGAGCTACATATCTCAAGAGAGAGAACTGAATTTTGAGCCTAAGAGCATTCATTTCCATAGCTGTCCTGAAGCCCTTACCTAATCCTTCTTCCAGCCCAGTAATGCAGATTCTTATCACAGCCCAGGGCAGAGGAAGGGCATAACCTCAGTAAAGCTGATGATGTTGCTGTCCACAGAGGTAGAGAGGAAGCTGCTGTCTCCTTATCCATTTGCTCAGACAGTGTTGAACTGAAGAGCAAAAGCCCGAGTAAAAGAGAAGGATGCAAAGGGATGGTGAGATACCAGCATGACCCTGGGATGTCACTTTTCTTTAGCTTCAATCTTTTAATATGGAGGTGACAATGATAACTGTGTCTAGTCTTAGGTTGTTGTAAAGATCAAACACGGTGATGCCTATGAAGGTGAGCATGTAGGAGCTGGCCCTACACAGAGCTCCTCAGCCTCTGCCTAAGAGGTTTAGATTTCATGCAGATGTTTGACATCTGGATGAAATGATTAATGATAGTGCTTCTGAGCCTGAATGGTTGTCAGAATTACCTTTCTGAATGTACAAATACTCAGGCTCCATCCCAGCTGAGTTTTATTTAGGAGGACTGGGGTGGGGGGTGGGGTAGAGTCTGGAGCTTTTCATTTTGAATCCATTTCCCAGGTAATACTGATGCATAGCCAGGTTTGGGGGAAGCAAACCACAGATGTTTCAGACATAGTAGTTGGAAAGGAACTCTGACTGGTTCCTCTCCGAGAAGGAGACACCCTTTTCTCCCAGGTCCTCTATACAGGTTTGCAGTACAGTAAACAGCATTGTGAGGTACTAGAACCTAGCATGGGTTGGGAAACTGGATGCCAGGAGTCAGATCTGGATTTTGTCCTTTTCTCTTTTTTTGACTCACCTAGTGATAGTTATGGAAATTGTTCAATTGACCTCTGCTTTCTGAGGATTATGTCCTAAGTGTCCCTCACACTTGATAGCCACAGTGGGTGAAGAGTCCTGGGGCAGGAAGGGAGGACATGGAAGAATCTCCCATCAGTCTGCTTTCCCACTGACATCTCATTAGATTCTCACAAAGATGAAGAATAAAATCTAGTATCTACCACTTAACCTTGTTCTCTGTCCTAACCTTTGTTCCAGTGTCATCCTGTCCCCTTCCACTGACTCTTCTGGCTGCCTTGCTGTTCTCCAAAGTTGTTTCTGCCTCAGGGTCTTTGCACTATTGCAGGACTGGACGATTTTGCCATGGGTGATCACAAGTCTAGTTTCTTTTCATTCTGCACTCAGCTTTCTTTTTTTCTATTTTTTTTGGGGGGGTCCGGTCATGGGGCTTGAACTCTGGGCCTGGAAACTGTCTGTCCCTCAGCTCTTCAGCTCAAGGCTAACGCTCTACCACTTGAGCCACAGCGCCACTTCCGGCTTTTTTCTTTTTGCTTATGTGGTGCTGGGGAATCGAACCCAGGGCCCCAGGCATGCAAGGCAAGCGCTCTACCACTGAGCCACCTTCCC